TCAAGAACAAGTTATTATTTGCAACTTTACCCAATTTGAAAATATTAGATTATTAGGAAAATTTTTTATTTCGCTTGGAAGCCTGGAAATTAAATTTTGTTTTCAAAACTTAAAACCGATTACATTTTTCGTTTTTTTTGGTGGAGCTTGCCTTCTCTTAGGAAAACCAACGAACTGAGTTTCTGAACTACAAAACAGCTGAACAATTAAACATACAATGCTCTAATGATAATTTACTGCTTCTTTAAAGGGGGGCAATCCTCAAGTAGACAATAAAAAATCAATTAAAGTTTTGTTTTAATCCAGTTTGCCAGACATCTAGAGCTACAAAACAGCTAAATTCGAAGGTTAACGAAAATTAGCAATGAATGTTTCCTAACTTAAAGATTCAAGAACAAGTTATGATTTGAAACTTTACCCAATTTGAATTACAAAAAAGCTGAATTGGAAGGTTAACGAAAACTAGCTATGAATGTTTCTTAACTTAAAAATTCAAGAACAAGTTATTATGTGCAAGTTTACCCAATAAAAAATATATTTTGTGAAGGAAAATTTTTTTATTTCGCTTGGAAGCCTGGAAATTAAATTTTGTTTTCAAAACTTAAAGCCGATTACATTTTTCGTTTCTTTTGGTGGAGCTTGCCTTCTCTTAGGAAAACCAACAAACTGAGTTTCTGAACTACAAAACAGCTGAACAATTAAACATAAAATGCTCTAATGTTAATTTACTGCTTCTTTAAAGGGGGCAATTCTCAAGTAGACAATAAAAAAATCAATTAAAATTTTGTTTTAATCCAGTTTGCCAAACATCTAGAACTACAAAACAGCTGAATTGGAAGGTTAACGAAAATTAGCTATGGATGTTTCTTAACTAATAGACTCAAGAACAAGTTATGATTTGCAACTTTACCCAATTTGAACTACAAAACGGCTGAATTGGAAAGTTAACAAAAATTAGCTATGAATGTTTCCTAACTTAAAGATTCAAGAACAAGTTATGATTTGCAACTTTACACAATTTGAATTACAAAAAAAAGCTGTATTGGAAGATTAACGAAAATTAGCTATGAATTTTTCTTAACTTAAAAATTCAAGAACAAGTTATTATTTGCAACTTTACCCAATTTGAAAATTTTAGATTATGAGGAAAATTTTTTATTTCGCTTGGAAGCCTGGAAATTAAGTTTTGTTTTCAAAACTTAAAGCCGATTACGTTTTTTGTTCCTTTTGGTGGAGCTTGCTTTTTCTTAGGAAAACCAACGAACTGAGTTTCTGAACTACAAAACAGCTTAATTATTAAACATACAATGCTCTAATGATAATTCACTGATTCTTTGAAGGGGGGGGGGGGCAATCCTCAAGTAGACAATAAAAAATCAATTAAAATTTTGTTTTAATCCAGTTTGCCAAACATCTAGAACTACAAAACAGCTGAATTGGAAGGTTAACAAAAATTAGCTATGGATGTTTCTTAACTTAAAGATTCAAGAACAAGTAATGATTTGCAACTTCACCCAATTTGAATTACAAAAAAGCTGAATTGGAAGGTTAACGAAAATTAGGTATGAATGTTTCTTAACTTAAAATTCAAGAACAAGTTATTATTTGCAACTTTACCCAATTTGAAAATATTAGATTAGTAGGAAAAATTTTTGTTTTGCTTGGAAGCCTGGAAAATGAATTTTGTTCTCAAAACTTAAAGCCGATTACGTTTTTCGTTCCTTTTGGTGGAGCTTGACTTATCTTAGGAAAACCAATGAACTGAGTTTCTGAACTACAAAACAGCTGAACTATCAAACATACAATGCTCTAATGATAATTTACTGCTTCTTTAAAGGGGGGCAATCCTCAAGTAGACAAAAAAAATCAATTAAAATTTTGTTTTAATGCAGTTTGCCAAACATCTAGAACTACAAAACAGCTGAATTGGAAGGTTAACGAAAATTAGCTATGAATGTTTCTTAATTTAAAAATTCAAGAACAATTTGTTATTTGCAACTTAACCCAATTTGAAATAATTAGATTATTAGGAAAAGTTTTTATTTCGCTTGGAAGCCTGAAAATTAAATTTTGGTTTTCAAAACTTAAAGCCGATTACGTTCTTCGTTTCTTTTAGAGGAGCTTGCCTTCTCTTAGGAAAACCAACGAGCTGAGTTTTTGAACTACAAATTAGCTAAAAAAAATGCTCTAGTGATAATTTACTGCTTCTTTAAAGGGGGGCAACTCTCAAGAAGACAATAAAAAATCTGTTAAATCTTTGTTTTAATCCAGTTTCCCAAACATCTAGAACTACAAAACAGCTGAATTGAAAGGTTAACAAAAATTAGCTATGAATGTTTCTTAATTTAAAAATTCAAGAACAGCTTATCATTTGCAACTTAACCCAATTTGAAATAATTAGATTATTAGGAAAAGTTTTTATTTCGCTTGGAAGCCTGAAAATTAAATTTTGGTTTTCAAAACTTAAAGCCGATTACGTTTTTCGTTTCTTTTAGAGGAGCTTGCTTTCTCTTAGGAAAACCAACGAGCTGAGTTTTTGAACTAAAAAAACAGCTAAAAAAATGCTCTAGTGATAATTTACTGCTTCTTTAAAGGGGGGCAACCCTCAAGAAGACAATAAAAAATCTGTTAAATCTTTGTTTTAATCCAGTTTCCCAAACATCTAGAACTACAAAACAGCTGAATTGAAAGGTTAAAGAAAATTAGCTATGAATGTTTCTTAATTTAAAAATTCAAGAACAGTTTATTATTTGCAACTTAACCCAATTTGAAATAATTAGATTATTAGGAAAAGTTTTTATTTCGCTTGGAAGCCTGAAAATTAAATTTTGGTTTTCAAAACTTAAAGCCGATTACGTTTTTCGTTTCTTTTAGAGGAGCTTGCTTTCTCTTAGGAAAACCAACGAGCTGAGTTTTTGAACTAAAAAACAGCTAAAAAAAATGCTCTAGTGATAATTTACTGCTTCTTCAAAGGGTGGCAATCCTCAAGTAGACAAAAAAAATCAATTAAAATTTTGTTTTAATCCAGTTTGCCAAACATCTAGAACTACAAAACAGCTGAATTGGAAGGTTAACGAAAATTAGCTATGAATGTTTCTTAATTTAAAAATTCAAGAACAATTTATTATTTGCAACTTAACCCAATTTGAAATAATTAGATTATTAGGAAAAGTTTTTATTTCGCTTGGAAGCCTGAAAATTAAATTTTGGTTTTCAAAATGTAAGCCGATTACTTTTTTCGTTTCTTTTAGAGGAGCTTGCCTTCTCTTAGGAAAACCAACGAGCTGAGTTTTTGAACTACAAAACAGCTTAAAAAAATGCTCTAGTGATAATTTACTGCTTCTTTAAAGGGTGGCAATTCTCAAGTAGGCAATAAAAAATCATTAAAAAATTTGTTTTAATCTAGTTTGCCAAACATCTAGAACTACAAAACAGCTGAATTGGAAGGTTAACGAAAATTAGCTATGAAACTTAACTTAAAAACTCAAGAGCAATTTTTTTATTTGCAACTGAACCCAATTTGAAATAATTAGATTATTAAGAAAATTTTTATTTCGCTTGGAAGCCTGAAAATTAAATTTTGGTTTTCAAAACTTAAAGCCGATTACGTTTTTCGTTTCTTTTAGAGGAGCTTGCCTTCTCTTAGGAAAACCAACGAGCTGAGTTTTTGAACTAAAAAACAGCTAAAAAAATGCTCTAGTGATAATTTACTGCTTCTTTAAAGGGTGGCAATTCTCAAGTAGGCAATAAAAAATCATTTATAAATTTGTTTTATTCTAGTTTCCCAAACATCTAGAACTACAAAACAGCTGAATTTGAAGGTTAACGAAAACTAGCTATGGATGTTTCTTAACTTAAAGATTCAAGAACAAGTTATGATTTGCAACTTAACCCAATTTGAAATAATTAGATTATTAGGAAAAGTTTTTATTTCGCTTGGAAGCCTGAAAATTAAATTTTGGTTTTCAAAACTTAAAGCCGATTACGTTTTTCGTTTTTTTTTAGAGGAGCTTGCCTTCTCTTAGGAAAACCAACGAGCTGAGTTTCTGAACTACAAAACAGCTGAACTTTTAAACATAAAATGCTCTAATGGTAATTTACTGCTTCTTTAAAGGGGGGGGGGGGGCAACCCTCAAGTAGACATAAAAAATCAATTAAAATTTTGTTTTAATACAGTTTCCCAAAAGTCTAGAACTACAAAACAGCTGAATTGGAAGATTAACGAAAATTAGCTATGAATGTTTCTTTATCTAAAAATTCAAGAACAATTTATTATTTGCAACTTAACCCAATTTGAAATAATTAGATTATTAGGAAAAGTTTTTATTTTGCTTGGAAGCCTGAAAATTAAATTTTGGTTTTCAAAACTTAAAGCCGATTACGTTTTTCGTTTCTTTTAGAGGAGCTTGCCTTCTCTTAGGAAAACCAACGAGCTGAGTTTTTGAATTACAAAACAGCTAAAAAAATGCTCTAGTGATAATTTACTGCTTCTTTAAAGGGTGGCAATCCTCAAGTAGACAAAAAAAATCAATTAAAATTTTGTTTTAATCCAGTTTGCCAAACATCTAGAACTACAAAACAGCTGAATTGGAAGGTTATTGAAAATTAGCTATGAAACTTAACTTAAGGATTCAAGAACAAGTTATGATTTGCAACTTTACCCAATTTGAACTACAAAAGAGCTGAATTGGAAGGTTAACGAAAAAATGCTATGAATGTTTCTCAACTTAAAAATTCAAGAACAAGTTATTATTTGCAACTTTACCCGATATGAAGTTATTAGATTACTAGGAAAAGTTTTTATTTCACTTGGAAGCCTGAAAGTTAAATTTTGTTTTCAAAACTTAAAGTCTATTACGTTTTTCGTTTCTTTTAGTGGAGCCTACCTTCCCTTAGGAAAACCAACGAACTTAAATTTCTGAACTGCAAGAAATTTAAACTGAGTTTAAACATACTTTGAAAAAAGGCGTTTTGACAATTTTTATAAGACTTCATCTACCCTTATTAAATCGTAAAAGTTTTATGCGCCCAAACAAACTTTTTTACGCCAAGACATAGCATTTAGAAGTTTTCAGACCAGAATGAGCCAAAATATTTCTAAAATTGTTTGTCTTGTCAAGAATTAGACTAGAAATTAGCCTAGAAATATATTCTGCCCAGAAAAAGCTTCTAATTTGCCAATTGATGACTCGAAATCAGGTTAGAAATAAATTTTTCTAAAGAAAACTCATACTTCAAAAGAACATTTGGCTCTTTTCCAGTCCCCCCCCCTATCAAATTACCGAGTTTTTTGTTTGTTTTACGTGTTATTACGGCTAAATGCGTGATGTTACGCTGTTAAGTATGAAGAACAAATCTGTTCAGAATTGTCGATTTGTTCACCACGACAAATTTCATTGCATCATGACAAAGTTAAATAAGCTTTTCAAAATTGAATTTGAAAGGTGGGGGGGGGACTGGAAAAGAGCCGAACATTTCATGAATAAATTCTGACCAAAATTTCACATCAGAAAAAAATTGACAGAAACAAAGCTTACCTTTTCAACTCTACTTCTTAACTTCACAACTGAAAACACATTTACTCGAAAAGTTGGTTAACTGACTTGACTTCTTATATGCTCAAAATAAGAACAATAAGAATATTTCTGTGGCACTTTACAATGCAGGGGTTGAAAGGGTCTTTTCCGGCATGGCAAAACCAGCACTTTTTTCTCATAACAAACAGTAATCATTTTTAAAGCACCCGTGTTAAGACTCTTTTAACAAGTTTTAACTGTCTCGATATTGTCAAGATGTGTCTTGATATGAATTATTATACGTCATTAAGTTTTAGCTAACAGAGACAGTTAAAAGTTTTGAGATATGTCTAAATAACTTGGTATGACTAGAAATTCGATAAAAAAGCTGCAAATTTTTTTCACGTTTCGTTATTTAATCAAACTTTTTCACAACGAAACTATTTTTATGACTTTTCTGCAATTGGCATATCATTTAGCATAAATCCTTGGTTGCTTATATCAAAATTCAAAATAGCATGAGTCCAAACAAGACCATAACTATGGTCCCTTTAAGGGCACTTGTGCAATTGTAATTATGGCCCTATGTCTTGCCACACTAGGCCATGACAATTTTGGTCACTGTGGGCTTGTGTTCTGTGACGTAGTTCGGAACTAGCACTAGCACCCAGGACATGATGCAGGGGGTGATGAAGCAGACGGCGATGAATCCGAGGATGAAGGGGTATGCATTCTGGAAGATGTGGTCTTCTAGTCCCAGGGACCACACCAGGGCACACACCAGAATCAGCAGCTCTGCAACAAACAAACAATGCAATGAATAAAAAAATTTTACATTTTCAAATTGTAAGCTGTTTTTTTCCGAAAACATCATTTAGATTATTTTTTGTTAATCTTAATTGAGAAAAAGTTCAAAGTTTCCCACCCCTTGTTAAATTACAAAACAAAGAATTGTTCACACGGTAATTTGCATGCTAGAATTGTTGTTGAAATTTGTTCACCTGTTCACGCTGACACGTTTTAGTACAGTTTCTAACATGAAAAAATCATTTTAAATAGACTTTCATATAATGAATTTAAGAAAAAGTCAAAGGGTGGGGAAACTGGAAAAGAGCCGAAAGTTGGAAAGAAGGGCCATTAAATCAAACTCTTGTGGGGACGAGGTTATTATTTTTGTTAAAGCGTGAGTATATAATGGGAAGGCTGTGGGAGTTGAAAAAAGTGGTGGCATTGGTGATGGTAATGGGGGGGAGTTAGTTGTTTCATAGTTCTCACGAGTGAGGTTGTTGGTGATGAGGGATGAGAAGGTGAGGAATTTGTTGTCCTGGGGGGAGTACTTCCTGAAGCAGGCCATGTATCCCCAGAGCACGAGGGAGACCACACACAACACCATCGAGGCTATGTGCAGACCACGCGCAACACACCCAATCTCCACCGACACTGAAACAAAAGGCAAAAGTGGAAACAAATCAAGAATATAAACAAAGTTACTTTTACAACAAAACTGACCGGTACAATTTTAAGTTAATTTAATCCAAAAACTAAAATATGATGTAAAATGACTAAAATCGAAACTAAAATTTTTAAGGAAAACAGAAAATTATAAATGTGGTGGGGAGAAGGGGGAGGGAAAGACTCATTTAATGATCTTTTTAAATCGGACATAGCTTTCAGTTTTCGACTGGTTGCCTTAAAAGCTTGGCAAAACTCGTATGCCATAAGTTGCTGGGAAAACAGACTGCAGGGTAACAAGCAGAAATCTGAGTGAAACTTAAAAAGAACACTCAAAGACAGCACAATCTTTTTTTAACTAATGTTTAACGACACAAATTTCAGTTATTTTATTCAAGGATACAACGAAAAGTTAAAAACTAGTTTAAATTAACATCATTACGTGAATACCTCAATTTCTCCAAAAAAATTGGAGCTTTAGGGTAAACTTCGATTCATTTACGGTTCTTTGCTTTCGCCCACTGAATAACCATACTAACATGACCCCAAGCTGTGATTTCCTGCCTTGCTGTCCCTGACATACATGCCAATATCCTCCTCTTTATTACCAAAGTCACCCGCGCTTTGACCCATAACAGGGTACAGACTGGCGAAATGGATCAAAGAGTTGGCGGAGAATATTATGCCCATGATACAAATGCCTATAGCCAGGTGGTCCCAGGGATCATACTCATGTTCCTGCACGAAATTCGATTTTTAAAAAATCAAATTTTTGGTTACCCATATTGGGTTTCAGTTTAGTTTGAAAATTTTTACGACGTTCTTGAGAATGCACTAAAATTCAGTTGCAGTTAATTTTGCCGTTGCATTTGTTATATTTTTTAAGCTCAATAAATTGTTAGCTAGAAACAGATGAGGCTTTTACTTGCCAGTTTTGATTTATATAAGCACTTATTACACGTTAAAACGAGGGATTGTTCTCATATTACAGCCAATAAGGAAAATATAGCCACCATAAAACAAAAAAAAATGAGGTTGGGCAACAATGTTTACGTGATTTAAGGTGATTTAATCGGAATGAGCTCCGAAAAAGACGTCGAAAATGAGTACAAGCCTAGCGACGTCTCGTGGCAACACTCGTCGAATGACCCGAACGCCCACTTGTAGGGAATCTGGTCGGCCGCCATGTGTTTTTTACCACAACCACAACACTTGCACATTTTGCCAACACCACAGAAGACAAGTTATAATTTATCAACTAATTATATTCGAACTTGGGTTATGATACGGTTCAGACTAGAAGTAATAACAAGTCTCTTTTCCAGCTCTACAACCATTTTTATTACACTGTTTTTTTTTCAAACTGAATTTCAAAGTGTTGAGACAATTGTTATTTTATATGAAATCCATTGCTAATAATTGGACAAAAAATACACAAAGTAAAAATATCGAAGCAGTTTAGCACCATTTTGGGGGAGTGAAAAATTTCTTAAGATTTTTGACCCTTTTTCTAGGTTGGATAACTGGAAATGAGACTTGGTAAATACTTTAGTAATAATATTCGCAAGTTGTTGCCGTTTGAAGAGAGATTGAAAATGCGACCAGGAAAAGAGCTGATCGGTTCGAATGAGAATTCAAAAATGACTTTTGTTCACTCTTTTGAACAATTTGGCGCCAGAAAATTTTAGAAGTCATGACAAAATCAACTTTGCTCTTAGCGAAATTAGTCATAAACTAAAAAACGCGGGATCGAATTAGCAACTTTCAGAGAAAAAAGACAGAGGCTTAAAGTTCATGACCATCAAAACATTATTACACCGATGAAAAACACAGTCATGTATTGTGTAAAAATTACTCGTGAACTGAAGCAACAAATTCAAATTTCCAAAATGAATTCGACTTGAACAGTTTCAAAATGCAATTAAAACAGGCGGCTCTTTTCCAGTCCCCCCCCCCTTTAAAATTCAATTTTGAAAAGTCTATTTAACGTTGTCATAATGCGATGAAATTTGGCGTGGTGAACAAATCGATAATTCTGAACAGATTTGTTCTTCATACTTTACAGCGTAACATCACGCGTTTAGCCGTAATAACACGTAAGACAAACATAAAACTCGGTTTTTCGAAGGGAGGGGGAAAACTGGAAAAGAGCCAAACAGGCATAATTGATTGCACCAAGTATGAAAACTGGGCTTTTTCCGAATACTGATTTGTATGGAAAAAAATTACCCTTTAACAAATGTATGGTAAATGTTTGTTTCTACATATGTTTTGAGCAACTTTTATGTCTTCGGATAGTTAATTTTTTCACACCTTGACCTTGGTAAACGGTAATTTTTTAACACTTGAAAAATATACATGACAGAACTCACATTGTTATGAAAACTGACATGCTAACTTGCATATTTGGTCTTAATAATTAATCTTGTAAAAATTCTCATTACACCATGAAGTTGATGCTGATGTGAGGTGGAGGGAGCAAAAAAAACACAATAATTTACAACAGTCAAACTACTGACTTCAGTTTCTCCCAAAAAAAATAAAAAGAAAAACTAGACTGGCTTCAGTGATCAATTTGATACCCTGATGTCCTGCTCTGGCTTGAAGCCCCACTGTCCCTGACATACATGCCATAACCTTCCTTCTTATTTCCAAAGTTCCCCACATTCTAACCCAGGACGGACAAGAGGCTGGCAAGGTGGATGAAACAATAACCCAAGAAGATTATGCCTATGATACAAATGCCTACAGAAAGACAGTTCCATCGGACTACTCTCATTTTTCCTTAACGAATTTTTACCAAAAACAGAAGTTGAGACTTGATTGCCCATATCAAGCTTCAGTTAAAATTGAAAAGTTCCAGTTGTTATTTCTTAAAATTTAAAATGATGAACTGTTGAGTCACAAGTAGAAAAGAGTTTTTTGAACATGAATGTTTGGCTCTTTCCATTTCCCCCGACTGCAATTTTTTTGGGTAAATTTTTAACCGCATCGTCCAATTGGTACAAAAAATCGTTTGTGTGCTAACTAGGCCTTAAAAAA